GAGAAGCTGGGAGGTGAAATCAACAAGAGATGCTGAGAGGTGAAATTGACAGGCCCTGGCACCATATTGGATTTTGGGGTGACAAAGAGTGTGGAGCCCAGGATGACTCCTAGGTTGGGAGCCTGAGGGAATGGGAGGATAGGGTGCCCTTTATAGTATTAGAGGAGGTGAGAGAAGGGTTAGATGTCTACCGGACATCCAGTTTGGGATGTGTGAAAGGCAGCTGAATAGGTAAGACTGGAGATCAGGAGAGAGACTAGGTCCCCTTCTACCTTTTTTCAGTTTTATACCTGACTCCCTCAAACCACCTCTACCACTGACCCCCTTTTTAGTTCTCATGGAAGGCTCCAAGTCCCACCTCTGGGTATTTTCCCTGGCTTTCTCCCATACTGGAATGCTTTTCCTCCTCTGCCTCCGGTTCCTTCTAAAAAGGAAGCTAAAACCACACCTTTCTTAGTGCTTCACTTTCCTCTGAGATTACCTGCCATTCACCCTGTAGATATCTTGTTGCTCAGTCATGGCCCATAGGGTTTTCTTGGCAGAGACACTAGAGTGGTTTGTCATTTCCTTCTCCAGTTCATTTTACAGATGAGGAAACTGGCAAATAGGGTTAGGTGACTAGTCCAGGGTCACACAGGTAGTAAGCAAGGCTGGATTTGAACTCAGGAAGATGAGTCTTCTAGACTCCAGGCCTGGCACTCAATCCACAGCACCACCTAGTTGCCTAGACATCTTGTATGTACAGTTGTTTGAATTTTATCTCCCCCTTTAGAATGTGAGATCCTCGAGGGCAGAGGCCATGTTTTTGCTTGGGTTTGGACCCCCCCAGTGCTTACCACAGTGCCTGACACATAGTAGGCACTTAAATGTTCACTGACTGACCTGGTGAGGGTAGGCACAAGACCTAGTTGGGAAGGGCTGAGGGCAACCTCTTTTATTTGGAGGCACAGACCATGCAGCCTGGAGAGGTATCCAAAGATCCAGCCCCAGGGCCGCACACAGTAGGTACTAAATGAACACCTGCGGACTGAAGACAACAGGCAAAGAGCTGGTGTCACGCCTGGGAAGGCCATTTGTTCCAGTGACATGTTGATGTTGAACCCCTGTTCCAAGGTCTTCACCATATGCTAGTTCTCCCCTCTGCCCATTTCCTCACATAATCCAAGCTCCCTGAGGGGAAAGGGGTCATTCCTCTGTGTCCCCAGCACCCATGCCCAGCAGGTACTTAATGGATGCTTACTGAATTCAATTGGTGATTTTCCTGCTCTTGTAGACACAGGGCATGGGGCCTGGGACCCCACTCCTCCCCTGACCCACTGAAGCAAATTAAGCCTGGGCTAGTCTGGAGGGAAGGGACAGGCTCTAATTCTGTCTCTGCTGCTCCTTACCATGTGTCATCGTCCCCATCCCCCCCTTCTAGATCAGAGCAGCAGAAATGAGTTGTCTCCTTATAGCCAGGCTCACCACCTGGCATGCATCTATCAGGTGGTCTTCTCTGACTCTTCCCCGGGCTGGGGGGAGGCATTGGATCCCGCCTGGCATTCCCCCACCCCTGCCGCCCCAGCACAATCGCTGCCCCACTCTTCCTCAGCAAACACAGAGCTATTCTTGGATTCCAAAGGCTCCAGCCTGTCCACACAAGGATGGAGTGGGACCGAATGGGGCTGTGCTGCCCTGCCTAAAGGCCTGCTGCCATCTGCTGGCGGTTCAGAGAACTCTCAAGACGAGGCACCTTCCCTCCCCTTCTCACTTGGCCTGAATGGGGTTGCTAGGAAGCGATTAAAACCTCACAGAACGTCTGTGAGTCATGGACCAAGACAGGTTGCCTGGGGCTGATGAGCCTCCCTGTGTGACCTGCACACATTGACCCCACATGGTCCAGATCTTGGATTGCTGCTGTGGAGCTGCAAGTATAACTCTTGGGAAATCCTCTCGTTGGCAGCAGCAGTGACTTGACCAAGGACATCAGACACTACCCCAAGGGCCTTTCTGGGCTGGTGCTGTCTGCGTCAGCTGCCCCCGAACGGCTTCTCCTTTTGGTCACTCGCTAGTCATTCTGAGTAGCTCAGAGGAGCATTTGGGGAGAAAAGCATCTGGCAGTGTTCTTGGAGAGGGATGTGTGTGTGAGCCCCACCTCGGCCCCGCACTTGCTACCTGGGCACTCACTACCCGGTCCAACCTTCTGACGCCTCGTGAGGCTCTGCCTGTACCGTCTCTACATTCTGTGATGTAAGATCTGGCAGGTACAGCCCACTCCAAGGGTGAAATGCCACACCTAAGAGCTGAGCCATCTCGACAAGTGGACTGTGCATTTTACTCAAGTATTTATGATTGGATTTCTTTAAAATTATGGAATCCTAGAGCTGGTTCATCTGCTCCAACCTACAGCCCAATGGTACTAACCATGGAGGAGAACCATGCAAATTATTGTTTGAATTCCATAAGCTTATTTTTTCTCATTCTCTAAGTGACAAACTATGATGCCAAAGATAAGAAAGGCAGTGTGGCCTGGTGGGCAGAGGGCTGGCCACAGAGCCACATCCTGTGTGGCTGGCTGATCTCTGGGGGCCTCAGGCCAACTCTCAAAGCTGTTTCAGTCCCGTGGCTTATCAGCCCTGGTAGAAGGGGGTGCCCAATGATGAAGTCCCAGGTCTACACTCCAGACCCCTGGCTCCCCCTTCCTACTCTCATCCAGCCCCTCTTCAAGGAACAAGCTAGTAGAATTTTACTTCGGAGTTTTCTGGCCTCCCTGGTGCCCTCCACTTCTTGGACAGCACCGTCAGCCTCTCTCTCACTTCAAGGTTTTCGCCATTCCCACCTTCCAATCAAATACAGTGTGTTGATCTCGCTGGGTCTGAATGTTTCTGGGCCAGAAACACTTAGTGACAAAACCCTCAGGAATAAATGGGTTAACATGCCCTTCCTGGGGCTGCTGGTGAGGGTCAATTCTTTCTTCAGCTTAATTCTGATTCTCTGGTTATCGTCAATCATGGCAAGATCAAATGGCTACTTTATGCTAGAAAGAAAACTACATCTGCAAGAAAAAATGTAACAGTACACAGCGAAAAGGATCAATGCCTGCCTGGCCAAGACCAACCCTTTCCAAACAGCGGTGGCCCTGACCTCTTCCTCATCGTCGCTTGTGAGGCAACATCCAAAGGAGCAGAGAGATCAAACCCGGCAGTCACGCCTGGCCTGCCCTTAAATTCTAAGGAATAGTGAAGTCATTAGCTTAGTGATGGTTGTGGTTGTGACAGTTGGTCAATTTCCACACTGGCAAAGGGAAGAATTTTCAGAATTTCCTTCAAGGGCTGGCAGGCTATTTTATGTTTTAATAGACTATAGAGTCCTCACAAGTGACCACAATACACCAAATACGAATGACCAAGGTCTAATTTTAATGCAGCAAATGCCACCTAAAAACTAAACTTAAGGCTCTTAAGTGACCTTTCAACAGCACCTCCAGGCCCCAGCCGCTGCTCACCTGAAAAGCTACCAAGTCAGCAGTGAAACACACCTGGCTGCACTAGATCCCGCCAAACATCCTGCTGGGATGATGCCTATGAGAACAGCTCGCTCAACTTTAGGAAACAGACAGGTGAAAACAAATGAGTGGCCAGTGTCTACACTGACCGACCAGTGGCCTATAACCAGCCTCTTTGAGCCACCTGGCATTTGGGGTCGAAAGGAGACATTCTCTTACTAGGATCACACCAGTGGCTTTTCCATCCAAACTGGGGAATGGGCCACAAGGGCAAAGTGACCCGGCTTCTCAATAAACAAGCTCTGAGTCCAGCGGTATGAGAATGAAGCTGACCCCTCCCTGGCTCTCTCGGAACTCCCCAGCAGAAATGACCGCTGCTGGCCGGTTTCCACAATGGGTTTATCTTCTAGAACTTTCTTCTGAAGATTCTCCTGGGGGAGGAGGCTTTAAAAAGGTGCTGCAGAAGTCTGAAGAACAAGAAGGAAGAGAACAGTTAAAGAGAAGTAATGATTCCTGTCATCACCATGTCCAAGGGCAGGCCCAGGGGCTGCCTCAGCTGGTCTGGAGGAGGAGGGGGAAGGAACATTCAGGGGAAACCCAACATCTGGGGTGGGGGAGGTCACAACCACATCTGGGGTGGGGTGGGGGAGGTCACAGGTCACACCCAACATGTGGGGTGGGGGAGGTCACACCCAACATGTGGGGTGGGGGGAGGTCATACCCAACATCTGGGGTGGGGTAGGGAAGTCATACCCAACATCTGGGGTGGGGTGGGGGGAGGTCACACCCAACATCTGGGGTGGGGTGGGGGGGTCACCCAACATCTGGGGTGGGGTGTCACTTTTGCCATCTCCCAAGGCTGGCTCATTCCCTGGGGCTATGGCTTTGGTCAGCAGGAAGGCAGGAAGGAGCCTGGTGGCTACACCAAGTCACACCTGAAATGCCCAGCAGGACATGCATCTGTGCCTGAGTCTATGGAGCTCTGGCCCTCGGCCAATGGAGCAGAGTGAAGGCTGGTTACCATGCACAACAGGTACTGCCCTTTCCCCCACCCCCCCATGCTAGGTGTTGGCTACACCCTTAAGGCTACCCAGCCTAACTCTTGGCTCCCCTCCCCCACTGAGCTTGTGGGCCACTCAAACCCCCAGATCTTTTTCACAAACTATCACACTTCCCCATTTGACACTTGTTCAATTCATTTTCTTTAACTCAAATGTGAAGTCCTATTACATTTCAACTGATTTCACAGAGCCCAGCATCCTAGCCAGTCTAGGGGGCACCACAGTGCACAGAGCACCTGGTTTGGTGTTAGGAAGCTCTGAGGTCAAATCCTGCCTCAGATACTGACTGGCTGTATGAACTGGGCAAGGCACTGAACTGCTGCCTGCCTCAGTTTCCTCATCTGTAAAATGGGGATCCTCAAAGCACCTCCCTCCCAGAGTTGTTGTGAGGATCCTAAGGTAATATTTGTACAGTGCTTAGCACCGTACACCATGTGTGGCACATAGTAGGTGCTCTACAAATGCTTGATCCTTCCCCAGCTGAATTCTGATTCTGTCATCCAGAGTTCCCTGGCTCTGCGCCACCTTTAAATGACTCGAGTCAACCACTCACACTTTAGGTAAGTCCCTGATGGCCAGGCCAGGACTCTGGCATGTGAGGAGCCCTTTGTGCCAACCGTCCAGCTTGAGGAGCACACCCCTAGAGAAGGGAAGTGACTTGACTTCCCCTGGCCGGGCAGTGGGCAGTGGGTCAGTCGCAGTAAGCCACAGGCTGCCCCTAAGAGATTACAAAACGGGAGGATGGGCCTCTCCCCAGGGCTGCAAAGGACTCACGTCCTCCAAAGCCTCTTGCTAAGACCAAGAAGGGAACTGCCTGACTCAGGCTTCCCCAGACGCTCAGGAAGGTCACAGGCAGGTCGTCCGTGCCCAGGCATCTCCGCCAGCCAAGAGGCCCTTTGGGAGGCACTGGCCACTCTCACTTCAGTTTCTCCCTCTTCCCCTTTCTCTCTGCCCCGCGCTGGCATCATCGTCTTTTTGAGGGCGGGGGCTAGGCTGGCTTGTGGCTCCTCTACCATACTCCCAGAATTCTCAAGAACTTATTTTGAAAAGATGTCAGACATCCTGCTGAGAGAGCTCACCTTATATGAAGAAATGAAGAAGGCTAATAAATTCCAACTTTGGATAGTTCCTTGGAACAGAAAAAGCATTTTATCAACTAATTTTAAAAAGCAAGAATCTTATGCAGGTCATTCATGTCATAAGGACTTGACTTCCGGACAATCAATGCCTCTGTTATTTATCACCCATTAGACTGTGGGAAATCCCTTCCTTTTTCTGGCCCTCAGTCTTCTCATCTCCAAAACAGGGGGAGTGGATCAGCTCGCTTAAAAAAAATTGTCTTTTAAATTATTAAAAAAAATTTTAGGGGCGGCTAGGTGGCACAGTGGATAGAGCTCAAGGCTGACTGGCCTTGGAGTCAGGAGGAGCTGAGTTCAAATCCAACCTCAGACATTTGACCCTTACTAGCTCTGTGATCCTGGGCAAGTCACTTAATCCCAACTGCCTCACCAAAAAAAAAAAAAAATTTTTTTAAATGCTTAAACTTCATTTCTTTATTTTGAGTTGCAAATCCTCTCTCTGTCTAGCCCCTTCCCACCCACTCAGGAGATATGCCCATTATACAAGTGAAGTCATGCAAAAAACATCCCCAAATTAGCCATGTTAAAAAAAAAAAAGTAAAAAAAAAAAAATCTGCTTCACTCTGTCCTCGGACTCCATAGTTCTTTCTTTGAGGGCGGCCAGCATTTCTCATGAATCTTCCTGAACTGTCTCAGGTGACTGCATCCCTGAAGCAGAGCAGAGTCATTCACAGCTGGTCACTGTTACAATGTTGCTATTACCGTGTACCACATTCTCCTGGTTCTGCTCACTTCACTTTGCGTCAGTTCATATAGGTCTTGTCATGTTTTTTTTTCCCCCTGAAACCACCACCTTGTCATTTCTTATAGCACAATACTATTCCATCACATTGACACACCACAACCTGTTTAGCCATTCCCCAGTGGATGGGCATCCCCTCAATTTCCAATTCTTTGCCACCACAAAAGAGCTGCTATAAGTATTTCTGTACCTGCGGGCCTTTCCCCCTTTTTTATGATCTCTCTGAGATGCAGACCTAGTAGTGGTATTGCTGGATCAAAGGGTATATACCCTTTGGGCACAGTTCCAAATTGCTCATCAGTTCACAACTCCACCAACAATGCATTAGTGTTCCAATTTTCCTACATCGCCTCCAACATTTGTCATTTTCCCTTTCCGTCATATTAGCCAATCAGATAAGTGTGAAGTGGTACCTCAGAGTGGGTCTGATTTGCATTTCTCTAATCAACAGGGATTGAGAGCATGTTTTCACATAGCTGCTGGACCCCTCTTGAGGTTCTAAGTCCCACGGTACCAAGGAAGCACAAGGCTGATACTGAGGCCACTGCCTGTACAAACCTAACACCTCTAAGTGTGCAGGCACGAGCTGCTCACCTCACAGTGTTTCTTCTCTTCTTTCTTGAAGGCAGAGTTTCTCAGGACAGAGGTGGTCATCTCCACTATGGTGGTCAGGGGTAAGCCACTTAGAAAACCTTTGTTATTTGTCCTCACCTCCTGGAGGGCATTGATGATCGTGTCTCTAGGTGGGGACGAAGGGAGAAACAAAATGGAGAGGCCCCCAGCACGTGGCCCTCTCGTCCCTGCCCTGATGACCACTTCGCGTGGGGTGCGTGAAGGAGCTTGGGTTACCTGCTGACATCAGGGTGCAGACCTTCGAGTTTCTTCACAAGCCTGGTGAAGCTCCCCAGGTTCAAAGTATTGGGAGGGATGTATGGAAGAGGGGTCTCGGGTAAGAATTTAACAGCTTTATTCTGCTTAAAACCTTTCTTGCCACTCTAAATGAAATGTTCAAAGAAAAAGGTGAACATTATTGTAAACAAAAATTAAAGTGTGCAAGGAAAAAACTCATTTTGAAATAAATTTAAAACTGTAGTAATGAAAAAACGAAAATCACACAGTACTAACTGCCAGCATGGCTTAAAGTTTGCAAAGCTCTTTACAAATATGATCCTCACAACGACTCTGGGAGGGGTTTATTATCCCCATTTTGTAGACGAGGAAACCGATGCAGAGAGAGGGGAAGTGACTCACTCAAGGTCACATAGCTAGGAAGTGCTGTGGATTATCATTTATCACTTGTTGATATTGTCTGAGCCTAGCCTTCTATGGCTGGGCTGACCTCAGAGACACCCCAGGGAAGCCAGATGTGCTCTCCGATCCAGCAGATGCCTGTAGGCCTGTATCTGAACTCTACAGAAAATAACCCAGGGAGAGGGAACCACCCCTTCTGTCCGGCTCCCTCTTGCTACCAGATGACCTAATAAATTTCTTTCTAAAACCATTTCAGATTTTGGGGTTTGTTCCTATGAACAACAGTGTCTCAGGCTGGATCTAAACTCAGGTCTTGCTGACTCCGGGTCCTGTGCCCCACATCGAGCTGACTCTACATGATTAGATTTTTTTTTTTTTTTTTTTTTTTTTGCTCAGGCAGTTGGGGTTAAGTGACTTGCCCAGGGTCACACAGCTAGTAAGTGTCAAGTGTTTGGTCTCAGGCCGGATTTGAACTCAGGTCCTCCTGACTTCAGGGCCAGAGCTCTATCCGCTGCGCCACCTAGCTGCCCCTGATTAGATTAATAAACGCGGAAAAAGCTTGTAACAAAATGCAACTCCCACTTCGATTAAAACCCCTACAAAGCACAGGAATCAAGGGACTTTTCCTCACTACGCTAAATGCCATCTCGCCCATGACCAAGAGTTAATAGTCAGGGGAGTGGAGACCAGCCAGAAGCTTTTCCAGGAAGATCTGGGATGTCTAAGATCACCACTGTTATTTCACGTAGTAGGCACGCTCTAGCTACAGCAATAAGGCAGGACAAAGACATGGAAGGAGGGAGCACAGGCAATGAGCAAACCAAATCATCCATTTTTCCAGATGCTGAGATGGTCTACTTAGAGAACCTCAGAAAGTAAACAAAAAATTACATGAAATAGTTACCAAGTTCAGGAAAGTAGAAGGACATAAAATAAAGTCGCACAAATCATTAGCTTTTCTGAACCCACCAACAAAACCCAAGAGAAACTGTGAAGATAAATGCATTTAAAATCACTCCAGAGTAGGGAAAAAAAGCATTTAGGAGATAACAACGGAGACCCACCAGGGAACCGCAGGCCACGAGCGCAGCCCTAACCATGACGGACTGCACCAGGGAGATCTGATGTGCCCACAGAGTAAAAGTGATCCCACCCCCACGTCCAGAGCCATACCAGACCATCCAGAGGTGACCTCACAGAGGAAAATAGGGAGCAATCAAAGGTCTGGAGCCTCGAGGGGAGCGAGGAGGCGTGGGCTCTTCAAAGGGGCCCAGGAGTCTCAGACCTCAGACTGTTCCTTGAGGTTGCCCTCACCCCAACCCTTTGGTCAAGAAGAAGAGAGATTAGGCACAGGAGCAAACAAACACAGCGGCCCCAAGACTGGGGACTGCCTGAAAAGCTGGGCAGGAGTCTGGCAGAAGCTACTTTCAGTCCAGATAAGCTCTGCATGGACACGTTATCTTGGGGAGCAGAAGCCTGATGATCCAGCTGGCTGAGCTAACTGCTTCCAATATAGAAGAACAGGAGGTATTGTCCAACATATAAAAGGGTATGACCAGGCAGCTTTACTCCAAGCTGTTAATAACTCTGTAAAAAGATGTTTCAAGTCACTAATACACAAGTGAAAAGCAAACGAAAAACTCCATCAGATCTGGTGACAGTGACAGAAATGGGTGGTGGCAAGTGTTTGAGAGGTAGGGAAGTCAGGAGCCCTGGCACACTTCTGGTGGGGCTGAGAATGGGCCTGGCCATTCTGCAAAGTGATTTGGAACGAAGCCCCTAAAGACAGTGAGCTGTGCATACACTAGCACTATGGGGGGCCAAAGCACCTCCTAATCGCAGCCTCTTTTTGTCACGGCAAAGAACTAGAAATTAAGAGTGGGAGGGGAAAGGCTGAACAAATTAGGCACACAAGTGAGATGGGCTATGATGATGCCTTAAGAAATGACCAAAGAGACTCAGGAAGATGGATCAGGGCAATGCAGAGTGAGGGGGCAGGACCAGGAGAATGAGTTAACCAATGGCACCAACACTTTGGTGACAAAGATCCCAGAGAAGTGTTGGAAGGGGATGGATAGGAGGCCCTGCAAACCCCCAGGGGCCCCAGGGAGAAAGGCACTGTGGGCATTCTGGCTGCAGGCTTCCTGCTCCTGGAGGGGAAGCTTCTGCTGGGAGCGAAGGTTTGCTTTGATGTTCCAGGTGGTCCTGCAGCCTTTCTGCCATCCCTCTTTTTCAGCATCATGTTCACATCTGAGGAGGTCTCCAGGTGGCACCCTGAATGCCTGTGCCCTACCCAGAGAAAAGCCACCACCAAACACTCACCTTCTGGTCGACGGAAAGATAAATATTTTCTTGCTCGGGTCCAGGAGGCCTCAACACGTGAGCCGGTAACTTGGCAGGCGACGGGGCTGAGCTGGAGCCTTTACTGTCCATAGTCTTCTCCAAACCGCCAGGGGCAAGCCTGCTTTCATTCCTGAAGGACAGGGGCGGGGCGTTTTCTACAGGGGTTTTGACCAGGCGGACACTGACCGATTTCCCATTGATTTCTTTCCCATTCATTTCTTCCACAGCCATCCTGGCTTTGTTAGCTTTTTTAAAAACAAGAGATGCATACCTGAAACACAAGGGGGACAAGACATCTTAAAGACAGAAAATAAGGTAGGAAGGGGTATAGGGGTGTGTGTGAGAGTGTGTGTGTGTGTGAGTGTGTGTGTATGTGTGTGTGTGTGTGTATGAAGGATAAATTACATTTCATTTTAAACATAAACCAACTCGTCAGTTAACCAAGCTACAGAGACTTATTTAAAACTGACAATTTCTGAACATTTGTGTATTGGCCAAGAATTGGTTAGAAGTTAAAATTCTATTCTCATTAACTTCGCACTCAGCAGGGCACTGCCCTGGCCACACTGGCTGGCTGACACGTTTCATCTCTACTTGCCCCCTCATGTTCCTAAGATTGAGAGCTTGCAGAGGTGTTTAAGAGCCTACAAACCCTAAACAGAAGAGGACATTGAGGCTTGAGAAAGTGAAGGGACGCAAATCAAGTCCAGGTGAGGTGGAGAAGCCCCTAACCCTGACTGGCTGGGTCTTGATTCTCAGGCCAATATTCTTCCGCCGGCTCACCATGTCTGGGGAAGATCTGAAAATGTCAGCCTGTTATCACTTGCTTGATAAAGACAGAAAATAGCATTTTATATAGAATCACAGGCTGGATTTAGAGCTCAGAGGAGCCTCAGGGGGCACCTCGTCCAACCCCTTTGTTTTACAGAGAAGGAAACTGAGGCCTCCCTATGGAGGAAAGGAGACTTGCCCAAGGTCATACTGGCATTATGCAGGGATGAGGCCTCTGTCCCTCAGTGTCTGCTCAGTTTTAGACGTGGGATGCTGGGGATACAGAGACAGAAATGCAATGGTCCCTGCCTTCGAAGAGCTCCCGTGGATAAAGATATTTCAACACAAACCAGATACAAAGTCTTCCTCTAAGACCCCAGCACAGAGGGCAGGGGACCACGGGTTCTGGCCAAGCCTGTGTCTGCTTTCCAAGGACTAGTCCAACCAAGCAGAGAGAGGCTTCTCACCAGAAGACTGGGCACTCAGCGACGGTTTTTGGCCACGGCAATCCATGCAACAAAGAGACAGAGAATGGCCCTTGGTTTGGTAGAACTGCTGTTTTTAGATCACTGAAAACCCTAAATGGCAGATGCTTGTCTATGACCAGTACGTCCTACCAATCTTGGCTTCCTTGCTGTGAAAAATACCCCCAAAACACAAACAACCAAAAACAGAAGGAGGAATCTGACAAAGAAGGATGAGGGATGTCATAAGCAGCATCTTCTTAGGGAGCAAAAAGAAACAAAAAGGAGGGTTCAGCCAATTGGAAGAAAGCCTGGCAAGACATCCCACCAAGCCAAGTCATGTCCAGGATGCTGAAGGGTAACAACTGAAAAGTGGACGGCTCTTTAAACATGACCCTGCCCCGGTTCGCACCACGAAGGACTTGCATCCCAACATCATAGTCCTTGAGATGCTTTAAAGGAAATCTAGGAACGTCCCAAAAGGGAACAAAGATGGAAAAGCAGCTGGATTGGGCCAAATGTAAACATACAAATGTGAAGGTATCAAGGACATGATGGGACAGGTATCGGAAGGAGAGGAGACATGAGAAAACCTCAGACCAAGAACGAGAGAAAAAAGGCACCAACCACTCAGTGCCTACCCTCCCACACACACAAAGTCTTTCTGTGGACCTTCTGTACCCATGCCAAGGGGCATTAGTAGGGAACAAGCTGGCTTCTGCAAGAGACATTCAACAATGGACTATAGCTGTGCCATTCACAGCTGAATGAAAGATGAAGAGAACAGAAAATTCTACTGTGATTGCTGTTTGTTGATTATGAAGAAGCACTGGATTCCTCCAAACATCACTCATACTGCACTAGCAGACCCCAGGACACAATGCCCTCTTTCCAGCGCTGTGGAGATCCTGGCTCTAGGTTACAGAAGTCTGCTCCCCTCAACAGCCAGCTTGGCCACGTCCCTTCAGGAGCAAAGTGTGCTGGGGGCGGCAGCCTGGACGCACCAGTGCTGCAAAGCTCTGAGCTTGCCAGTGCCAGGCCAGAGAAGTGAAGGACAGAGGCAGTAGGACAAGTCACCAGAACAGGATACAGTGAGTAGGGGGCAGGGCAGCTGTGCAGCGCTCCACAAGCAGCAGCATCCAGCTGGGGCCAGGCTGGTAAACTGTGAAGGGCCCATTGTGGGAAGAGGCTGAAATGCTTTTGAGATCCAGGCCCCAAGGAAACCACAGTCAGAGGGGTGAGAGTCGGGAAGTGAGTGATAAGAAAATAAAAGGGGGGGGGGACTGAAAATACCAACGATGTCAGAAAGAAGATGTCCACTAAGTGAGAAGCAAAGATGCAGGGGCCATGGAACGACGGGGCTAGAGAGAGGCACAGCTCTGTACCCCTACTCCTACCAGACATCTATCTGTGGCTATGAACCTCTCAGAGTGGGGAAGGTTTCATCTCACTCCACTCTGGAGAGACAAGATTTTGGAGATACAAGGCACATGGGCCTTCAAAGGAGAAGGGAGCTCACTTGGGGCTTGGACCTCAAATAGGGGGGCTTGGGGGCTGAGATGGGTGGCTGTCAGGGCAGGTTCTTCCAACAACCTGGAGCAAGGCCTGGGGGCATCCAGGGGAACATGCACTAAACTGAGCATCAGAATCAAGGTTCAAGTTGGGGCTGTTCTGCTAATCAGCTGGAAAACCACTTTCAGGAGCTGCTGCCACCTTTTAGAACGAGCCAGCATCCTCCGGCAACCTTCACCTGCTGTCCACGAGCTTGGTTTAATACTGATACCTCTATTGAAAAGAATCAGTCTCCTTTGTTACTCTTTGTATTTTATGCTTAAAGAATGTGATTCTCAGAAGGTGTCGGTAGGCTTCCTCAGACTGCTGCCTCAAGGGTCCAGGACACAAAAAAGGGGGGACGCCCCTGCCTTAGAGCCTCAATGTTCTCCTCCTGATTACACTGCTGGCTGGGCATCCACCATTTTGGGCACAGATGAGTATGGCCTGAGATGGTAAACACAATTCTTGGCTAATTAACTCATTATGGTTACAACTGTCTTTCTGCCAGGTGTCACTCAATTAACTCACACCAGCTAGTAATGGTAACAACCTGAAGGTGATTAACCCAGGCTGTTCTGTGCTTCTTGGGCAACCTGGGGGAAGCCACTGCCCCTCTCTCTCTACCTCCAGAAGAGGGAGACCAGATCATCTCTAAGAGGCCTTGTAGTTCTCAATCTATGGTCTATGATCTTCATTAATTGAATGCATGTGACCAACATGTCTAAAGATTTCTAACCAGCTAGGCCACAGCTGCCTGGGAGGCCTTCTATAATTGGGCTCCATTCCCCACTCATCCCTTCCACGCATTTCACATTCCAGAGAGCTGCTTCCAGACCTGGAAGGCACTTCCCACTGCCCTCTGCCTGCTAGGACCAGCTCAGGTACCACCCTGGCCATGAAACTCTGCTCACGGTGAGTGAGATGCCCCCTGCTCGGATCCTCCTAAAGGGACCTCATCTCTCCCTTGACCCCTTCGATCCCTGAGGGTACACGCTGCATCCCAAGTCCATCACAACACAGTCAACAGCTTCATGAGATGTTCTGATGGCCGCCCTTCTGGGCACATGGTCCCTCATTAGCTTCACTCCGCCCAGGGTCACCTACTCAGGAGGGATCAGGGCTGGACTAAAGGACACAAGAGTTGATTCTAGCCTGACTCAACTGAATTCCAACATTACAAAGAAAAATGATTCTGTGTCAATGGGAGACTCCTTCACACTGAACTTATATACTTACCTGTAGTTATGAGAAGAAGTGCAAATGGAAACTTCAGAAACTTGATACTTCTGGAAATGAGACATTAAGTCAGTCTAAAAAGAAAAAGACACAGGACAGTTTCTTAAAGGCCCCCCAGCCCCTTCCGACAGACCCTAGTGCCGCGAGCGTAAAAGGACTCGGGGTGACAATCTCAGGAGGCAGCCCGGGGGCTCTGTACCTCGGAAACTGAAGGGCACAAGCTGCCGACGTGAATGAGATAATTTCTGTTTGGCTCCCTCTGGGAAGGTTCCCTAATCTTCTTCTCTGCACGAGGAAAAGACAAGACAATTATTTAAGTCTGACAACCTTTCCAAAGTTACAGAGTAAAGGGAATGTCCATTCCAATGGAAGTTTCAATGTTTTATCCAAAAAAGTACAAGCGGCCAGTGACCACAATCGGCCATTGTCTGAAAGGTGCTGGGAGACGGGCTGCCCAGCCCAAGCCCTGCTGGGGAGCTGACATGAAGCCGAGGCCTTGGCCACAGCAGCAAAGGTCAGGAGACATGGACGCCACCTGCAGGCCAGACACTGACCGCATGTTCACATCATCTGCGCGGTCCTGTGTTGTGGCTGAGTTTGTGAAACATTTCCCAGCGACGTTTTCATCTGCTTCTGGCTGCACTTGGAGTTTTGTGGGTGCCTCCTGCATACACACCCTGACTTCTGGCCTGGGCTTGCTACTTCTGCTCCTATTTTATTCACAAATGCATGTCAGCAACAATCCCAAAGGACTAATGATGAAGCATACTCTTCACCTCCTGAGAAAGAACCAACTTTGACTGAATACAGACTGAAGCAGGCTATTTTCCAGGGCTTTTTTTTTCTTCATTTTTTTCTTTTAGTCGAGTCTTCTTGTACAAAATGACGACTATGGAAATATTTTACATGACTGCACATGTATAACCAATATCTGATTGCTTACCATCTCGGGGAGGGGATGGAGAGAAGAAGGGAGGAAAGGATAGAATTTGGAACTCAAAATGTTAAAAAAAATAAAAAAGTTAAAGGGCAGTCAGGTGGCTCAGTGGAAAGAGCTCCAGCCCTGGAGTCAGGAGGACCTGAGCTCAAATCTGGCCTCGGATACAACACACTTACTAGCTGTGTGACCCTGGGCAAGTCACTTAACCCCACTGCCTAGCCAAAAAAAAAAAAAAAAAAAGTTAAAAACTGATTTAACATGTGATTTAGGAAAAAATAAAAAATATATTTTTTATTAATTTATTTTGAATTATCAACAATCACTTCCATAAGCTTTTGAGATTTAAATTTTTCTTCCCCTCCCTCCCCACCTCCCTCCCCTAGACGGCGTGCAATCTGATATAGGCTCTACATATACATTCCTATTAAACATATTTTCACATTAGTGATGTTGTAAGAATTAGAACCAATAGGAGGAACCACCAGAAAGAGGAAACAAAACATAACAGAAGGAAAAAAATAGCAAATAGTATGCTTTGATCTGCATTCAAACTCCATAGTTCTTTCTTCTTTGGAGAGCATTTTCCATTACGACGCCTTTGGAGATGTCCTGGATCCTTGTATTGCTGAGAAGGGTTAAGTCTACCAATATTAGTCATCGCACAATATGGCTGTTACGTTGTATAACATTCTCCTGGTTCTGCTCATTTTACTCATCATTAGACCATACAAGTCTTTCCAGGTTTTTCCAAAGTCAGCTTGTTCATCATTTCTTTTTTTGTTGTTGTTTGTTTTTTTTTAAGGCAACTGGGATTAAGTGACTTGCCCAAGGTCACACAGCTAGTTAAGTGTCAAGTGCTTGGTCTCAGGCTGGATTTGAACTCAGGTCCTCCTGACTTCAGGGCTGGTGCTCTATCCACTGTACCACCTAGCTGTCCCCTGTTCATCATTTCTTATAGCACAATAGTATTCCATTACATTCATATACCACAACTTGTTCAGCCATTCCCCAATTGATGGGCATCCTCTCCATTTCCAATTCTTTGCCACCACAAAAAGAGCTGCTACAAATATTTTTGTACATGTGGGTCCTTTTCCCATTTGTATGATCTCTCTGGGATATAGTCCTAGGAGTGCTATTGTTGGGTCAAAGGGTATGCACATTTTTATAGCTCTTTAGGCATAGCTCCAAATTGCTCTCCAAAATGGTTGCATCATTTCACAACTCCACCAACAATGCATTAGTGTTCCAATTTTCCCACATCTTCTCCAACATTTATCATTTTCCTGTTTTGTCAAGTTGGCCAATCTGATAGATGTGATGTGGTACCTGAGAGTTGTTTTGATTTGAATTTCTCTAATCAATAGTGATTTAGAGCATTTTTTCATATGACCATAGATGACTTTAATTTCTTCATTTGAGAACTGCCTGTTCATATCCTTTGACCACTTATCAATTGGGGAATGACTTGTATTCTTATAAATTTGACTTAATTCTCTATATATTTTACAAATGAGGCCCTTATCAGAGAGACCAGTTGTAAAAATTCTTTCCCAATTTTCTACTTTCCTTCTAATCTTGGTTGCATCGACTTTGTGCAAAAACTTTTCAATTTAATGTAATCAAAGTTATCCATTGTGCTTTTAGTAATGTGCTCTATTTCCTGTTTGGTTATGAATTCTTTTGTTCTTCATAGATCTGATAGGTAAACTATTCCTTGCTCTCCTAATGTGCTTACAGTATCAACCTGAATAGCTAAATCATGAACCCATTTTGACTTTATTTATTATATATGGTGTGAAATTTTGATCTATGCCTAGTTTCTGCCACACTCTTTTCCAGTTTTCCCAGCAGTTTTTGTCAAAGAGTGAGTTCTTATCCCAGAAGCTGGGTTCTTTGGGTTTACCAAATAATAGATTACTATAGTCACTGACTACTGTATCTTGCATGCTTAACCTATTCTACCGATCCACCACTCTGTTTGTTAGCCAGTGCCAAGCAGTTTTGATGACTGCTGCTTTATAATGCAATTTAAGATCTGGAATGGCTAGGCCACCTTCTCCTGCATTTCTTTTCATTAGTTCCCTTGATATTCTGGACCTTGTGTTCTTCCAAATGAATTTTGTTATTATTTTTTCTAACTCTACAAAACAATTTTTTGGTAGTTTGATTGGTATGGCACTGAATAAGTAAATTAGCTTAGGCAGAATTGTCATTTTTATCATATTAGCTTGGCCTACCCATGAGCAACTGATGTTTTTCCAATTATTTAGATTTGACTTTATTTGTGTGAAAAGTGTTTTGTAATTGTGTTCATATAGTTCCTGGGTTTGTTTCGGGAGGTAGACTCCTAAATATTTTATAATGTCTACGGTAAGTTTAAATGGAATTTCTCTTTCTATCTCCTGCTGCTGGGCTTTGTTGGTAATATACAGAAATGCCAATGATTTATGTGGGTTTATTTTATATCCTGCAACTTTGCTAAAGTTGTTTATTATTTCAAGTAGTTTTTTACTTGATTCTCTAAGTATATCATCAAATCATCTGCAAAGAGTGCATGTGAGCAAAGCTACAGAGTAAAGCTCAGCCTTGACATTAGGCCCCCTGTTCATGCAAAGACCCTGCAGGGTCCTCACTAGAGGCCACCACACAGATAACGGTAACAAAGCCCTCCCCAGTCATAATGGCAGGAGCCACAGGCAGTCTAATCTACTGACCCGGGTCATGGAGAAGTCCTCTACAGAAGGGAAGGTCCTACTCTGGGCCAGGAGGACCCTGGAGCCCCAGTACATGGCTCAGGCTGTTGATCCCCTCAGGAAAACCACCCCCCCAATGACACGCCAGTGCACTGAGGGGGGAAGGGCAGCCCACTGGCGGCATCCATTAGCACACACAACCTCAATACACTCAGAAGAAGGAGAGTAAATGTCTGCTGCAGCAGCCTTCTTCACAACCCACCAGCTCCTAAGAATAAAAATCTGTAGCTGGTCCAAGAGATGGTGGAGCCCTGCACAAGGTGGCTTCAATGAGGCCTCATGTGCAAGTAGGACACTGAGCAGCTCTTTCCCTGGTGGCATAAGGAGGGGGCTGGGCAGCGAGAGGGAAGAATTATAAACCTGCCCCCCTGGGGGGCGGCCCTGGGGTAAGACCTGGATAAGGTCGGAGGGGACCTGCGTCGACAGAGCAGATCTGAAGCCAAGGGACAAAAATCCTTCTCTGAGCCAGCCTGCCCTGCCTCCCCCAAGCCCAATGAAAGCTACAGCTAAGCTTCTCCATCAGTCCAGGCCACGAAGACTCACCCGGGGTGAATTCAGGGTTCCTCTTGTCTCGCTCTGTTTGATTTTTTGGTATTTCTGAGCAGTCAATTCCTGTAAGGTTTTCTTTAGCATCAAACCAGTCTTCGCTTATTTCCCGACATTTTGTGTAGTCTAGAAAATTAAAAGCAACCGGTCACTCCTTCTTGGCTGCAATGATCCGTGTGGCTATTCCCCTGGGGACAGTCAGTCCAGGGAAGCCAAGTTCAGTCTGGCTCTAAAAATACCTCTTCTCGAATCTCAAGAACTGAGCACGCTTTTCATCACAAGTTCATGAATGAGTGTGTGCACCCTTAAACGTTTCTAACAGCCTGGACAAAGCCTTCCCATGTTCTACGAGATACGTTTAAGAAAACGACAAAAAGGGGGGATTTCCCATTTTGCAGTCAGAAACTGCTGGGTAACGAGGGGGAGGAACCAGAACAGTTCAGACTGAGAACGCAGTCTTGGGGTAGGATGGGGCAGGAAGGTCAGGGAAGGCAAGAGGAATTTACCACGCGCCAGGCCCTGGGCCGGGTGCTTTACCAAGAATATCCCACCTGATCCTCACGACCACCCTACTGGTGGTCGGTACTATTATTGTCCTTACTTTACAGTTGAGGAAACTGAGGCAAAGAAAGGTCAGGGGGATAGGCCCAGGTCACAGAGCTAGGCCCACCACAGGTCTTAGGCCCATCTGACCTCAGGCCTAGTACTCTAAGAGCTATGCCACCACCTGCCAGTTTAGAAAGGGGGGCGGATTAGAAGAGTAAGCCCCCACCCCCCACCCCTTGTCCCCTGGTAATCACATGCTGGACTTTGACACCGACCTTCATCTTCAAGTTTCAGATTTCTGATGCCGACATTCAGATCCCAGGTCTTTCTGCTTTCATTCTTAGGGGCTGTTTCTTGTTTAGGATGACAATTTTCAGATGCACGAGCAGTCTAAGGAGGAATCAGGTAACATGATTCACTAGGGGCCATTCTGATTAGAACACACACACACAAATTACGTGCCCCCCTGCCCCTCAAGTTACCAAATGTTTGTATGAGCAATCTGACAGACACTCTACAGCAGCTCATTAGCTCCTGGCTCCGATCGAGGCCTCTGACATCCCCTACTCCCCAAATCGTGGGCCAAAAAGCAGATGCCCCCTGGGCATCCTGCTCCCGGGTCACTCATCCCCCACTGGGCCAGTGCTGGGCAGCTAGAACTGCCAAGATCCCCCACTCCTGGGTGTGGCCTGGACATCATCCCTTTCCCTCCCACCCCCATCCATATACCATTTTGTTTTGAAACTCTAGTCGAGTGCACTCATTGTGTGTGTGTGTGTATTACAGCAATCAGGGCTGTGTTGGTTCCATACTGGACTGACTGGAGGCTTCATGAGGGCAGGTATGGCTACACCTGAATGTTCTATTTATTTTCTGTAGTGCCTGGCACAGGGTCCTGCATGAAGGAGGCACTGAATGTTTTTGATTCTGTGCCTTAGCAGAGGGAGCCGAGGCAGGGGCGGGGTAGGGAGAAGCACGAGGCTGTCACTCAGACTGGGCAAGGACATGCCTCTGGTCCTGCCCTAGCCGGGGCCCTGCTGCCCACTGCTGCCTAAAGAGCCCCTTATTAGACTCCTTATATGCTGGTCCTACCAGAACCTCAAACGCAACATGGCCAACAGGGAAGTCCTTTTCCTGCTCCCTCAGACCTCCCTGAGTCTGGTGAGGGTCCAGCACATGCCCTCTCTGGGCATCTCTCCCCCTTCCATAACATCTCTGTCAGGCAGGCAGGGTCTCCTCTCTGTGTCTCCCGCCAGACCTCATCACCTCCCACTCAGACTAATGCCAACAGCCTCCTCAGTCAGGGGTCTCCAGACAGTGGTCAGAACAAGCTTCCAAAGGCACAGGCTGCTGTCCTGCTCCAGAACCTTGGTGGTCTCCATTGCCCCTTGGATAAAAGACAAACTACTCCATGTTGCCTATTAGGCCCTCCCACACTCTAGGTAAACAGGCTGCTGTTCCCTCAGTGCTGCCTGGAAAGACTCCTCCTTCCTCACCCCCAACCCCACAGGGAAGCCTTCCCCAACTCCCGGGGTCCTTCCAGCTACACATCCATAACCATGTGGGAGTGGTCCCCGCGGCTGCACCTGAAGGCCTATGCTGGGTCCTTACCCGCCATCAGGATACCTGCCTGATATGTGGATACTCACAATGCCTTAAACTCAAGCAAGAGATTGAAAGGCAAGGACCCAACAGAGGAGCTGGAGGCCTGGGGGGAGGATAGGTCATCTGTCTATGTCTAGAATCCCATCCTACACACCTCAAAGAGCTGCTGGGAGGAAACAGTGTTGTGTACCGTGAAACATCATGCAAAAAAGTGCATGATGGGGGCAACTTGAGGGTGCAGTGGATAGAGCACCGGCCCTGGAATCAAGAGGACCTGAGTTCAAACCCGGCCTCAGCCACATAACACTTACTAGCTGTGTGACCCTGGGCAAGTCACTTAACCCCCCACTGCCCAACCAAAAAAACAAAAAACAAACAAAAAAAAGTGCACGATTATAATCAATGCATGAGGGATTCGCCTGAGCTCTCCTCCAAACTCCTCCAAATACCTTTTCAAAATGACTCTAAACAAATTCTAGAGCAGCAGAACTCACAAAAAGATGGAGTGAAACAAAATTCCAGCCCAAGGCTGTGCCAGCACAGACCCAGCCCCAGCAAACCCAGAGCAGGCCTTGGGGCAACTGAATCACTGGCAGCAGCGGTGGTTTCCAGGCCTCTCAGCCCACAGATGCCAAAGACAACTTAGAAGGTCAGCAACAAAGGTCTGTCCCACTGGGTGAGAATTGAATGCAGTCCAGCGCAGGTCACGCCAGCATAGCCCCAGCCCCAGCAAACCAGAAGCAGGCCTTAGGAGTGACTGTTTCCGGAACTCTCAGCCCACAGCAGGTAAGGGGGTCAAACAACTGGTCAGAAGGAGATTACAGGGGTTGCTTTGCTCATACTCAGATCTGGGTGACAGTCCTGGGAGGTAGTCCCAGGGTGAGGAGGAGCACTAGCATAGCAGAGCTTGCAGCCACATGGGAGGGGGGACCCACCCTATAGTACCAGGGCAGAAAACAGTGCGTGTGGTGATTGCTCATAGACCACAGCACAGGCCAGGAGAGTAGTACACACCTCTCCTTACATCACACCACCCTGGAAGAACTGAAAACTTACAGGTCCCTAGAAGCATCTCTGAAAACAGCTGCACAAAACCCCTGAAGCTTCGGATAGTGTACCCTGCACCCAGGAAGCAGAGCCCTACTTTAACAAAAAGGTGTAAGTCAACTAATAGGCTAGGGAAATGAGCAAACAACGGAAAAACTCTGATTATTGAAAGTTACTATGGCGACAAGGAATATCAAAACATACACTCAGAAGAAGACAACAAAATCAAAGCTCCTACACCCAAAGCCTCCAAGAAAAATATAAATTAGTCTTAGGCCATGGAAGAGCTTAAAAAAGATTTTGAAAATCAAGTAAGAGAGGCAGAAGAAAGATTAGGAAAGGAAATGGGAGTGATGTAAGAAAATCATGAAAAAAGAGTTAACAACTTGGTACTGAAGAAAATAACACCTTAAAAAACAGACTAGGCCAAATAGTAAAAGAGGTACAAAAAGTCAATGAGGAGAAGAATGCCTTAAAAAGCAGAACTCGACAAACAGAAAAAGAGGCCCAAAAATTCTCTGAAAAGAAAAAACTCCTTAAAAAGTAGAATTGTTCAAATGGAAAAGGAGTGACCAAAAGGTCACTGAAGAAAATAATTCCTTAAAAATTAGAATGGCAAAAATGTAAGCTAATGACTTCATGAGAAATCATGAAACAATAAAACAAAACTAAAAGAATGAAAGAATAGAAGACAATATCAAATATCTCACTGGAAACACAACTGAACTGGAAAATACCAGGAGAGATAATTTAAAAATTATTGGACTACCTGAAAGCTATTATCAAAAAAAGAGCCTAGACATCATCTTTCAAGAAATTATCAAGGAAAACTGCCCTGATAGTCTAGAACCAAAGGGTAAAATAGAAATTGAAAAAATCTACCTCCTGAAAGAGATCCCAAAATGAAAACTGCCAGGAATATTACAACCAAATTCCAGAGTTCCCAGGTCAAAGAGAAAATATTGCAAGCAGCCAGAAAGAAACAATTCAAGTATCATGGAGCCATAGCCAGGATAATACAAGATTTAGCATCTTCTACATTACAGGATTGAGGGGATTAGAATATGATATTCTGAAGGGCAATATTCTGACCTAGGATTAAAACCAAGAATCCCTTCTCCAGCAAAACTGAGTATAATCCTTCAGGGGAAAAAATAGGCATTCAGTGAAAAAGAAGACTTTCAAGCACTCTTGATGAAAAGACCAGAGCTGAGTAGAAAATCTGACTTTCAAATACAAGACTTAAGAGAAGTGTAAAAAGGTAAACTGGAAAGGGAAGTCATAAGGGATTTAATTAAGTTTAAACTGTTCACATTCCTATAGGGGAAGATGATACTTGTAACTCATAAGACCTTTCTCATTATTAGAGTAGCTAAAAGGAGCATAGATAGACAGAGGGCACAGGTATGAGTTGAACATGAAGGGATGATATCTAAAAAATAAAATTAAGGGGTGAGAGAGGAATGTATTGGGAGAAAGGGAGAGAGAGGTAGCATGGAGTAAATTATCTCACATAAAAGAGGCAAGAAAAAGATTTTACAGTGGAGGGAAAGATGAGGGAGGTGGGGGGGGTGAATGAACTTTATTCTCATCAGAATTGACTCACAAAGGGAATAACAGACCCACTAAACTGGGTATAGAAATCTAGCTTACCCTACAGGAAAGTAGGAGGGGAGGAAGGGGATGAGAAAAGGAAGGATGATAGAACAGAGGGCAGATTGAGGGAGGGGCTACTCAGAAACAAAACACTTTTGGGGAGGGACAAGGTGAAAGGAGAGAGAGAATAGAATAATCGGGGGGGAACAGGATGGAGGGCAATACAGTTAGCAATAGTAATTGTGGAAAAAATTTTGAAGCAAGTTTCTCTGATAAAGGCCTCATTTCTCAAACACATAGAGAACGGAGTCAAATTTATAAAAATACCAGCCATTTCCCAATTGATAAATGATCAAAAGATACGATCAGTTTTCAGATGAAGTAATCAAACCTATCTGCGGCTACATGAAAAAATATTCTCACTATTGATTGGAGAACTGTAAATTAAAACAATGCTGAGGTACTACCCCATATCTCTCAGCTTGGCTAATAGGACAAAGAAAATGACATATGTTGGAGAGAAGGTGGGAAAAATGAGATTTTAATGCACTGTTGGTGGAGTCGTGAAACAATTCAACCGTTCTGTTGAGCAATAAGGAACTATGCCCAAAGGGCTATAAAACCAGGCGTACCCTTTTACCGAGCAATACCACTACTAGGTCTGTATTCCAAGAGATAAAAAACAAAAAGGAAAAGTACTTATACGTACAAAAATATTTATAGCAGCTCTTTTCTGGGGGTAAAGAATTAGAAGTTGAGGGGATGCCTGTCAATTGGGGAATGGCTAAACAAGTGGTGGTATATCATAATGATGCAATATTATTGTACTGTAAGAAATGATGAGCAGGATGCTCTCAGGAAAACCTGGAAAGACTTACATGAACTGATGCTAAGTGAAATGTGCTGTGTATAAAGTAATAGCAATACTGTAAGATGATCTGGTGTGAATGACTTAGCTATTCTCAGCAACATAATGATCCAAGACAACTCTGAAGGACTTAGGATGAAAAATGACATCCATCTCCAGACAAAGAACTGATGGTGTCTGAATATAGACTGAAGCAGAGTTTTTTTACTTCCTTTATTTTTCTTGTTTTTTTTCTTATCTACGTTTTCTTTCGTAACATGACGATTATGAATATGTTTTGCGTGACTACACATGTATAACCTTAAAAAAAATAATCAATGTATTCTCATCTCAAGACCAGAAAGACATGTTTGCTTTCACCCTATCACTGGGATGTGTCTGAGCTGGGGGGAGAGGGAACGACTTTAGAAATCACCTAGGACATACCTCTTACTTTACACCTAGGAAACTGAGGCCTGGGGGGAGATGGGACTTGCTTGGGCCACACAGAAGCAGCTGTTTGGCTACACTGGGGTCTGTCACATGGCCAAGCCAGGAACGGGACCAAGACTGTACTTGGCGACGTAAAGAACCAAGAATTCCCACTGGGGAGGGACCTAAAGCCCGCCCCTAACCTCACCTGAGAAAGGGTCCTTTTCAGGTTGGTAGCACCGGGGTCAGCGTTATATGCAACAGGAACATCAATGAGGCCTGAGTTTGGTCCTGAAAGGCTGGAATGAAAGGCACACAGATTACTCTAGTGCAGGAAGAGGACACATGAGAATAAAGATAACATTTCTGAGTAAGAACCAAATGTAGAACACACACAGGGCAAAACAATGATAACGTTTATCGTCAGAGCTTGCTGATGCTTATCTGAAATAGGAAAAAAACGTAACTTACATATGAGAGCCTTCTTTCATTAGCTGGAGAGAGAGAAAGGGAAGGAGAAATCCATTAAAACACGAATATTTTCTGCGGAAAATGTTTAAAAAACTCTCATTACCACAACACATACCTTGGAAGGAATAAAAGTGGAAAAGAAAGATGACAATTTGGACTCCACAGAAAGGGGAGGCAATTCATCCAATGGTACTCCCTTTGTTATTTTTTCTCTCATACTCAAATACTTAAATTTCAGATCTCCAAAGACAGACAGTAATGTCGATCCTAATTCTGTTTTAGCAAAATCACTTGCAAAATTCCTGTTAAGCAGTAGAAATAGGTGAGTACATACCCCTACACCTTGGGCCTTATACACACATGCTTATCACTACTGTTGAGAGAAACGATTATGTCTTTCCTATATGAAAAGCCAATTATTAAATTAGGACTAAGGTTTTTCTCCCCTTTTATTTCCTCATTCCCTGTAGGCTACTCAGTCAGCCTTTGAAGGGCAGGATTGACAAAGAGACAAAATCTGGGGCAGATGCACCCCACTGGGAAAATTTAGATCAAAAGGTAAAGAGATTCTAGTCTGGTGAAATTTCTGCTCCCTCAGACCTCCCTGAGTCTGGTGAGGGTCCAGCACACGCCCTCTCTGGGCATCTCTTCCCCTTCCATAACATCTCTGTCAGGCAGGCAGGGCCTCCTCTTCCTGTTTCCCGCCAGACCTCATCACCTTGATTTCTATCAAGATTAAAAACAAGTTTTCAGAAGAATAATGGAATAACTAACAGAATTACCTCTCTAGGGCCACCCTTTGGAAAGATAGAAGATGAGGAAACCCGCTTCCAACAGGAGTCCTCCAGGGGCTGGCACTGACCAATCATTCCTATCACCCACGAGCAGCAGGCATTTAAAGGGGACACTTGCTCTGGGGCCAGCCAGCTCACCCAGACTAGCACAATTCATACGGTACTCCACCCCGTCCAACCATAACAAACATTTTTAGACATCAGACTAAGATTCATGATTATTAATTTTGTGACATGCTAACAGCTGGTTTTTTCCTGATGTGTTTCAGATAGACAATATTTTAAAAAGCAATCAATACATGCCTAGTAAAGCTTTCCTTTTCTTCCATTATAAGTCTGTAAATTTTCCAACAATGCTGATGACACATCTGATAATGGGCTTTTAAAAGCAGCAACTCTGCTTTTATGGCTCTCTGCAACGTTTTCTGACAGCATTTGGAAGGAAAATCCCTCTCCACGTCTTCAGAAGGTTGAAACTGACTTTAAAACAAAGAACGGGACTAGTTCAAAACTCAGAATGAATCTACTTAACATTAAGAGCAAGCTGTTCATTTTCTAGATTTTTATCTTAAATCAGTTTCTACGGGTGATTGAAAATTTTGCACTAACAACACTTCTAGAATATGACTTGAGATTTAAAGATAAATCTATTATTTTTAAAAATAAAGAAAATATCTTAATAAATCACCCTTTATCTAAGTTAGGTATTATTATAGTAAGGGTTTCTCATTTACCTGCTGGCACCGGAGAAGGCAAGGGACATAGCTTCTGTCTACGTATTAGGACAGAATGCAAGCTATTTGTATACTTATGCATTTTTCCAAAGTAATATAAGGATTTGATTGCTGTTACTGTGCTGTAACAATTACAGTTACAACCTTGAAAAGCCAAGGCGCTGAATTCACCTATTAAATGGAAGACAGTAACAGGATAGCTTAGACAAAGAACCCAACAATTTTCTGCCTAAAAGAAACACATTTAACATATAGATACACATGCCAATTTAAAGTGAAGAGCCAGAATGCAACGTATTGTGCCTCAGCTGCATGTAAAACAAATAAACCACAAGTTGTGATCACGTATTTCAACAGAGAAACAAAAAATATATGCCATCAAGGAAGATAGGGAAACTGCATTACACTTAACAAGTTCCAGAGATGGTGAGATGTCGATTTTGTGTATGTGTATGCAGACACACAGACACATACACGACCAAGTGGAACAGTAGCAGAGCAGTTAAAGGAAAGGCAGCAGAGAGAGACTGGCCAACAGAAGAAGACAGGCGGATAGGGTGATAAAACAGAAGGGAGGGCTATTAAGGGAGATCGCAGAGTACCCACCGAGACATTAAAAATATCTAATGCCTTGTACGTATTAGGTGTTTAATAAATATTAAATCTGAATTTTGAAGGAACTATATAAGCATCTGTCCAGGGCTGTTTGGACATGTCTAAAGAGTAGGGATTGAAACAACTTCTTAAGGTTCCTTTGGCCATTTCATTCTATTAAAATGATGTCAGCCAGGCAGACACAATCTAATCTTGACTTTTCATATCCTTGTCATTCACAGTCGATTGTAAAAGCATCATAAAAATCATATGACATACCTCTCAGGATTTTTCTTTAAGTCTTTGACATCACATTTATTTTTCAATTCCAGGCAATCCTGAAAACATTTTAACAAATAATCAGAGATGTTCAGTGATGGAAATCAAGATACCACACAAGCAGACCACCAGAAACTCCCTATTAGCATACCAAATGTAACCACTTCAGTGCTTTTCCAACCCTATCATTCACAATTTTTGTAGAGTAGTGAGGGGAGGAATTCAGGGAGGCTTCATAGGAGGTAAAACCAAAAAAAAGCTTAACATTACCCGAATTAACAAATTGTCATTAGCTTTTGAATTCTCAACTGGAAACGGCTTTTCTTGCCCTTTGGGGAAAATCCCTCGTAAGTGACCCTCTTCTTCTGCCCGCTCCTGCAGACAGGACCAGTCTGTGTTGCAGGCGATGCTTCTTGGCTTCTCATCTGGCCACTCGCTGGGTCGTGTTTTGTTCATCATGGTTATTTCTGTATTGCTTGACCTGGATGCCACAGAAGACCTTGCACTTGTGGCCCTGCTCGTGGTGAAACAGGCCCTAAAATCAGAGCTGGCATCAACCGTCTGGTTAACTGTAACAAGACGGTCACGGGCTGCATCCACTGAGCGCTTGAGATGCTTGGGCTCCACACTGATAAGGTGTGTTTTGCTGACTGCTTTTGTAGGGCTACCTTCTTCTATCAAATGACTCTCTTTGGCCGAAACCTGTGGCATTGTCGTGGGCAAATCTAAGCCTGGCTTGGTGGTGCTCTGGATGAATTTATAACATGACTGGTCATAGGCAGACATATCCGACTCATCAAAAATAAAAGTTGTGGAACTCTGCCAACATTTGCTGGGCTGCTGTGATACCGCTGAAACTCTTTCCAGGAACAAACTAGGGTTTTCCACACTCTTCAGAATGGCGTTCTCCCCTGCTTCCCCACAGACATCTTTCTTCTCAGTCATCTGAGACTTCCTTTTGTCAGGAGAGATACTGGCTTTGCATGTCTGCTGAGGTTTCCCTGCACTGCTGATTAACTGAGAAGTCTGACTGCAGGCAACGTCCTGCTCTTCTGCTGTACCACTCACGTGTACCATGCCATTAAGTAAACTCTGGTTCGTGAAACTTGTCTCTTGTTCTCGGCACCTCCGGTACTTCTGACCGTGGTACTCGGTTAGAGACAGGTGATCATGAAGTTCAGGCACCTTGGCCATACCTTCTTCTTGTGTGTGAATGTGAGTTGACTCATAGGAGAAAAAGGTACCACCTTCCAATTTCTTCACGTGATTCTCGCCCAGACCATTAGCACAGTTAATTTCATAATCTGAATTTTCCAACTCTACGACTTCTGAATTAGGGGTACATAGTGTCTTAATTTGGTCAAAATCTAAATGGAAACCAGAGTAATCTTGCTCTTCAGCACTGTGATATTCCTGCTGGGAATCTTCATCCAGATCATGCTTCTGAATATCACTAGCATTAATCTTGTAATCACCATCTACATTTCCGCAGATTTCTTTCAAAACACCAGAATCTTTGTTTTGGTCTTTAAGTATATCAAAAAATCGCTCTTCTTTTTGCATTTCAAGATCTGTCTCTGAACTCAGATATGTAAAATGTTCTTTCAATTTAGAATCTGAGTCTGGGATATTGATGGAATAGGTATCATTCAAGAGAGCATAGTCAACCACACCCGAAAGTGCACTCGACTGATACGGAGCTCTCCCAAGAGAGACTGGGGGGCTCCCTGAGGACAGCTCGGATGTCTCTCTTTCGTCCAAGAGGCTCATGTGGTCTTTATCCATTTGCTCCAATACCAAGAAACTGCAGCGATCACGAGAAATAGTGAACAGACTTTCACCACTGACGTTTTTATCATAACAGTGAGAGGCCAGGAAGAAATGTTTTCTCTTGGGACTTGATGGCTCATCTGAAAGCAAAAGAAAAGAAAGGTGCCTTTCAACAAGATTCTTCACCAACAGGCAGGCTCTGGGGCCACTCCACTTCTGAATACCATTGGTGGTGGGGAGGCTGTTTTCTGACAACCAGCCTCAATCTTTAATGCCAACCCACCAATCTCAAATCTGCCCTCTGGGGCCACAGGAATAAGTCTGATCGCTCTCCTACAAGGGGACCTTTTGGGTACCTGAAACCATCTCTTACACTCCAGCCCTGGCCCTTCACAAACCTCCCCGACGCTTTCTTTTCCCCAGTTACTTCTGTAGCCCATTCCCCCACCGTTCTCAACTCAAACTCATATAATCAAAGGAAAAAAAAAAGCAGGAATGGAGGGGGCCATCTCATTACCAGACCTCAGCCTATATTATGAAGCCATAAGCGTCCAGACTGTCTGGCGCTGGGTAAACAAGATAGGTCTGCATTGAAGCTCTTCACCACTTGACTCCTGCCAACTTTCCCAGCAGATGAATCCTGAATCTCCCTCACCCATGCTCTGGGCCTCTCTGCTGCTCCTTACATGGGATGGTCCACCTCCAGGCCAGGCCAGAAGACACTCCCTTCTCCCATCTGATACTACTTTTGGCATACTGTCTTTCCCTACTCCCCCATCTGCATGCCATGACTTTGTATTTACTCTGCCTATCCTCAGGTATGGACAGGCTGCTTCCCCAATAGAACATAAGCTTCTTGGGGGTGGGAACAGTTTTATTTTTGTCTTAGTATCCGCTGCATCCAGCACAGTGCTTGGCCTCGAGCAGTTCACTTAAAAAATGCTTAGACAAGGAAGACTCAGGATCCACTGAACCTGGGAGCCCAGTATTCGAAAACAAGACTCCCCTACTGGACAAGAACTGGTAAGAAAAATGAAGAGCAGTCCTGCAGAAATTAGGTTAAGACGGGCTTCTTATATGATACATCACAATAAGCATCAAACGAAACTAACTACAAAAGCTCATTTAAAAAAAAATCTGGAAAAAAGTCACCTTTCACAACTATAGCATTAGGAAAACTTTTGTTAAAGACAAACACACACACAACATCACTGAGTAGTAATGCTTGGAAAGAATGAATAGTAGTACCAGTAATCATAGAAAGAGACTTATTTACATTCTATCACATACTAATTTAAGTCAGAACTAACTTTGGAGGAGAGGATTCTGGGAAGATGGAGGAGTTCACAAAATTCCAAGCTCTCCGGACTTCCCCCCCAAACAAGACAAAAAAAGCACCTCAGGGAAAACATAGAGCACCGAAATAAACAAGTGTTGGGACAGAACAGTGGTCCACCTGGACAACCAGAGGAGATCCGAGATTTGGTCCCGTGAAGTATAAACACCCCCAGGCTTGTTCCTCTGAAACAGCAAGCTGCGAGCCCTAGGGCTAGCTGGGTTGGAAGGTAACCTCGGCCCAGCCACAGGAATTTTCACCTCCTAAACAGCCTAAGAAGTCCAGAGTCAGAGTGGGAGAGGGAGAAGATTGAGGGAACGTCAGCCGATAAAGAACGCTAGACCCAGCTGTGCTGGGAAAGAAGGAATGAGCACATGCCTGGTAAGTGCAGAAGCAGTGAAGCCAGGACGTCGCTGGCTGGCCGTGGGCACTTAGGGGAGGGTAGAGGTCTTGAGGAGAGAACTGAAGGAGGATCTGAGGCCAGAGACACCATTCCCCATATCCCAGGGCTGGAGGTAATTACAATAATAAGCTGCTACAAATTTAAAAAAAATTAGCAGGCAAAGGAGAAAGAATCCAACCATAGAAAGTTACTATGGGAATAGAGAAGACTGAGGTTCACTTTCAGAGGAAGATGTTGAAGCAAAAAATAAAAAAGCCTTTCTTACTGAGTCAAATTTATAAGCATACAAGTCATTCCCCAATTGATAAATGGTCAAAGGATATGAACAGGCACGGATGAAGAAATTAAAACTCTCTATAGTCATATAAAAATACTTTAAATCACTATTAATTAGAGAAATGCAAATTAAAACAACTCTGAGATACCACTTCACACCTATCAGATTGGCTAAAATAATCAAAGGGAAAATGATGGTTGGTGGTTGTCCTTTGTTCTTGAAGAGGACCTGCAGAACTTTCTGCAAAAAGGGCGGCAAGCATTACCCTCACAAAGTGACACAGTACAAGAAATGCAAGGATTCCACTTCTGCAAGGGAAAATGATGGTTGGTGGTTGTCCTTTGTTCTTGAAGAGGGCCAAAATCACATCACTATGTTAGAGTCAAGTTACAAGGCATCCGGCTGTGGTTGATCAGAACAAAACGAGCTTGGAACATTCTATCAGAGGTTGGGCACAAACAGTCTGTGTGAACCTTTGGGGTGGATTCTCTTAAGTTTGCCTATCTTGCATTTCTCTTGAGCTATTTCAATTCTGCTCTGCTCACAGTACACAGCACCATCTCTTATGTGGGCACACCATGCTGAGCACTACTGTGCCAACGTTTCCCATGTCACACAATCAATTCCAAAGTTCTTTTTTTTTTAGGAACACTCAAAATTTACTAAGCACCTTTAGTGTGAAAGGCATGGTGACCGTGCCAAGATACAAAGATTGACACAGACAAAGATTCTGCCCTCCAGGGGGCTTAAAGCCTAATATGGGTTTATGTAAAACAAAACAAAAAAAAAGATGTAAAATGAAGGAACAATGAGCTCCATTCTTTACTCTTCCAAGTCTTGACCAGCTGTCATTCCCACCCATCCCTATACATAATTAATATCAGTTTTCAATTAACAAGCCATCCCTTTAATGATGAGATTATTTCAATCACTATTAATTAGTTCTCCTTAGAGGATTAACTCAACCCAAATAGATATGGGAACTCATTTGATTAATACTTTGAAAACAAGGTACAAATGAGTTTTCAATTAACAGGACATCCCTTTAATAGCCAGGCAATTCAATCATTATTAGTTTTCCACAAAGAACCCTAACAACCCAAACAGATATGGGAAACCACTCTGTTAATGTTTGAAAACAGGGCAATCCCTGAAAGTGATGAATTGGATTTGCTGAAAGCCTATAAAATAGGGGCTAGTTATCCCTACCTTTATTACTTTGTATCCTTAATTTGCCTAGGAATCCAGGCTGTCAGTAACTATTTTAGTCATAGCACTAATAACCAAGGACCTGGGCCCCCCAGAAACATCCCGCTGAGCTTTCTCTCCATGACACATAAATCTCATTAAGTAGGTGACTAAAGTTACAACACTCAACCACATCCTCAAGAACTTTCCCTACACGGGGAAAAGCTTCCCATAGTATGAGACTTGGTTTTACTCAAGTCTCTTCCTTTTCAAGACAGAAAACACAAAACCAAGGGATGGCATGGAACGGTTTCTTCCCATTAAGATGAAAACAAGGAAACTCAGAACTGGATCACTTGGTCCTTTTTCTTCTTGTCTCCCCCCAGTTCAAAATGATTACGCCTCTTAATGGCAAGCATCCTCTTAGACCTGCGGTTGGGTTCTACACAGTCAAACCTCAGTATAATCTTTTTTGTGGTCTTTGCCTTTTCCCAGAAAATTGGTTTTGTTTTACCACCATAGCCACCCTGCTTCTGATGGTATCGCCTTTCTCCCTGCACATACAGGGAATCCTTGCGTTTCTTGTACTGCGTCACTTTGTGAGGCTAATGCTTGCTGCGCTTTTTGCAGAAAGTTCTGCGGGTTTTAAGGACATTCACCAAAGGGCAGCAAGTGCTGGAGGTTTCACTTCCAAATGGGCTTCTCTGATGTCCAAGCCACCCCAGTGGCTTGGTCCATCAGCCAAGTGCTCATAGGCGAGGACAAAGACGAGCTGAAGAAGACGACGGGCTTCGAAGGATGACGGAGGAAAACTATTCTAAAGTTCTTAAGAGACCTTGAGAGTGTCCTTATAGTGCTTCTGCCCACCATGTGAATGCTTGCCCTGTGTGAGTTCTCCATAAAATAGTCTTTTTGGCAAGTACATTTTGCATTTGAACAACATGGCCAGCCCAATGGAATTGTGCTCTCTGCAGCAGAGTTTGAATGCTTGGCAGTTTAGTTTGAGAAAGGACCTCAGTGTCTGGTATCTTACCGGTCAGGTGATCTTTAGAATCTTTCTAAGACAATTCCAATGGTAGTGATCCTGTGTCCTGGCATGCCGCTGGTAGACTGTCCAGGTTTCACAGGCATACAACAATGAGGTCAGCACAATAGCTCTGCAGACCTTCAGTTTGGTAGTTAGTTTAATATCTCTTCTCTCCCATACTTTCCTTCAGAGCCTCCAAAACACTGAGCTAGCTCTGGCATGAGTCAACCTCATCAATGTGTACATCCTTGGAAAGTCAACTGCCAAGGTGGGGGAACTTATCCACAGCATTCAAAGCTTCTCCATTTGCTGCAACCAATGGTTCCTCGTGCCCGTGGTGTGGTGGTGGCCGATGCAGCACTTGTATTTTCCTGGTGCTAATTGTTAAGCCAAAATTAGCACAAGCAGCAGAGAACAGAACCATACTTTGTTGCATCTCAGCTTCAGAGACTGCACTGAGTGCATAATCACCTGCAAATATAAAGTCATGCACCAACACTCCCTTCACTTGGTCTTGGCTTGTAGCCTTTTCAAGTTGAAGAAAGTATCATAGGTGTGGTAGCTGACTCTGATGCTGTGTTCCTTCTCATTGAAGGCGTCTGAAAACGTCACGCTAAAAAGCATGGGAACAAGCACCCAGCCTAGTTTCATTCCACTGGTGACTGGGAAAGCACGTGCGCATTGTCCATTATCTAGGACCCAGGCAAGCACGCCATTGTGAAATTGACCTACAATACTGATTAACTTCTCTGGGCAACCAAATTTTGATATAATTTTCCACAAGCCCTCTCGACTGACTGCATCAAAGGCCTTGGTCAGACCTACAAATGTTGTGTACAGACCTCTGTTCTGTTCTCGGAGAAGATGTGGGAAAACTGGAACACTAATGCATTGCTGGTGGAATTGTGAACTAATCCAATCATTCTGAAGAACAATTTGGAACTATGCCCAAAGGGCTAAAAAACTGTACATACCTTTGATCCAGCAATACCACTAGTAGGTTTGTATCCCAAAGAGATCATAAAATAGGGAAGAGGACCCACATGTACAAAAATATTTATAGCAGCTCTTTTTGTGGTGGCAAAGAATTGGAATTTGAGGGGATGCCCATCCACTGGGGAATGGCTGAACAAGT